ATTGCGCTCTTCCCGGATGAGGCAGATGGGTTGCCAGCCTCCGGACGGCTGTTCACGGTGGCTCTTGGCAGCTCATGCTGGATGCCAGCCACTCACCATAGCTCATGGCAGCCCACTGCAGCAGGGGCTGCAGCCTACACCATCGCTGGTGACTCACTGCAGCCCAGCTCCAGGTTGAGCTGTTGTCCAGCATCTTAGCTGTAGAGGGCAGCGTCACTGGCCCTCATGTGGGATCCGAACCGGGGCCCTGCTGCTCAGACTGGCGTCCCAAGCCAACTCCTAACCAACGCGCCACTCGGCTGGCCCCCCTCTGTCACTTTTAAAGTGACGGGGGATCCCCTCTATCAGTTATGTCGAGCGCTTGCTAAAGACGAATTCCTGGGCCCACCCCAGACACTGTGCTAGTCTCTGGGCTGGGCCATGAAAACCTGCACCTATAACAGAACACCCAGGTGGAGCATGAAGAGTCTGGAAGCTCCTTCGCTGCTCTCCAGATGGGCAGCCCCTGGGAGGCCCTCTGGGAGACCCCGGGAGACGGGAGGGCTCATTGCAGTTCCGAGGAGCTGGTCAGGGGGCCTGTGGTGCTGCAGCCTGAAGGCCATGCAGTGCAGGCTGCTGGGGAGGGACACTGGGGACGCTGGGATCCTTGAGCGTGTGAGCTGGGGCCACGAGGGTACTGACGCCAGCCTCGGCACCCCAGGCCTCCGCATCGGCGCCCAGTGTCCTCAGGCGACCCAGCAGCTGTGGAGAAGACAGCCTGCTCCTCACCCAGCTCACCGCCAGCCAGCCCTCTGGGGTTTCCCACAGCAGGACCCCCTAAACTTGGAAAGGGGTTCCAGGTGCCTTCTCCAAGTTGTGGAAGAGGCCCTGACTGCCCCGGCCACAGCCGCCGCCTCTGAGCGTGTGCCCAGCGTCTGCCCTGGAGACGCCTCGGAGGCGTCTGTGCGACGTGTGCCCTGGCCTCGGGCTCCTTGGAGCCTGTCATCGTTGAAAGATATTCTTCTATGATGGGAAAAATCTCCACGTAAAACCAACATGGGGTCCAGATGGATGTCCACAGAGCTGACTGGGAAAGTATCGGTGACCTGGAGTGTCATCTCGCTCCACAGTCCTCAGGCCTGTTGCTCTTGGGGACCAAGACGCTGAGCGGAGCGCCGTGGGCATGGGAGGGGCTTTGGCCGCCCGGCCCGGAAATGGACAGACTCCTTCAGCCACTGGCGACCTGTGGGCCCCGCTCCCTGAGGCCACCAGGTGGCAGTGTTGGCTTGCCCAGCCCGGCCACCGCGCAAGGAGGGGAGCTCGGGCAGCGAAAAGGTCGAAGGGCAAGTTCTCCCACTGCATGTCCTGCTGAGCTGTGAGCAAGCCCTGAGCCCGATCCGAAATCCAGTCTCCGTACTGGAGGGAGGGGCGCCTTGCTGATGCTGCGAATCTCAGCTCCTGCTGATATCAAAGTGGAAAGAGGAGAGAAACGCAGCAAAATTGATAATCTGTACCAGTGGAGGAAAACCGAAAAGTTGGTAAGTAATTTACACTGCAGGTCCTGGGTGTGTAAGGCTTGAGGGGGAGGACAGGGAAATAAAGAGAGAAAGGAAGGGATAAGGGACTGGCTGTGGTTTGGGGAGACAAAAATCTAAACAGCTTCTTTAGAAACAAAGAAACCTCTGGGGTTTGCCCAGGGACCTGACTGCGGCAGAACTGCGATTAAGACTCGCTCCCTCTGTCTGTCTCTCTCCATGTCTCTCTCTCTACCTGGCTCTCTCCCATTTTTTTTTTTTTGTTGTTTTCTGCTACCAGCAAGTCCTTTTATTTCTTGTCCTTTGGTAAAATCCTTTCACCTGAACCTTGGTTTTCTGATAATATAAGGACCCAAATCTGTAAGTGCTGTTGAGCTTATCGGTTGAGGACTTTGTGTAGGTGCCACGAAGCCCCTTCTCCCAAGTCGCAGTGAGCAGGCCGCTCACTTCAAGTCGTGTTCGCCTGCTGACCAAGGAAAGGCAACAAAGTCTCCATCGCTTCATTTCACTTACTGCCTGTAGGTTTCGTAGGCGCTGCTTGTGCTGAGGCTCCGTCGCCACTAGCAAAGGCTAAGTGCGTTTTCCTTGTAAGTCAGGCCATTCTGCCTCTCTTCTCTTTTGCTCAGAAGAAGAACCAAGTAAAGGCAGACCTGGCCTAACTGGATGAAAAACGAGTCTGTGGCACAAGGACCACATTTTCTAAAGCAAAGGTTGAAACGTGCAGTAACGCGGGATCTGACCAACTATTTGAATTCAGGGCTGTCTTTGAAACGTTGACACTTGTGATGGACTTGTTAAGAGACCCTGTTTAATTTGTTCTTTCTAAATATTTATTTCTAGCTATTTCAGAAGCTGTGCTTGGACTCTGTTCACTCTGTGTTCTTGGCTCTGTCGTACCAATGCCGGCATTTACTTCCACGGTGAGGCCAGAAGGTGAAGCCACTGCTGACCGTCTGTGCACGTGGGGCTGTTTCCTGTTAAGATGCTAAGAACCTTCACCCCCAAACCTCGGGGTGTTGGTGAGGGTCTCCGGGTGTCATCCTGTGGGAATGCGGCAGCCCTGTGGGACAGGTGCTGTTCAAAAGTTCTCCAGAACCTTCTCAAGCTTAGGGAAACCTCCAGAAAGCTTTAAACCCTATTTGTGGTTTTCTTGTGAAGCTTTTCCTGGAAGCAGTTTATACTGACTTGCCAGCGTTTCTGAGGGGGACGTGGGGACTGAGGGTGAGGACAGGCCCTGGAGGCCGGGCGAGTGTCACAGAGCCCATTATTCTTCAGATCCCCTCTGCAGGCCCCAGAGGGTGTGGGCCCACACTGCCAACGTCAGAGCACGGCTCTCCCAAGAAACCAGAATTTGCTGATTTATGGTGTTTATTTAGAGGTGAAGCTAGGATGTTGGCTCAGACACTCATTGCACTCAGTTTACTCTTTCAAGAGTACTTTTCAAGTTCCTACTCTGTTCTAAGTCCTGGGGTGCAGTCCTGGGAAAGGGGGTGCAACCCCTGCTCTCTGGAGGAACATAGCAGATCAACCAGCCTGAGAACATCCGAGGCCGAGGAGGGGAACCGGGAGCACGGGCAGGCATCTCCCTGAGACGTGACGGGAGCTGAGTGGATAACAAGAAAGAGTCAGGGCTTCGGGGGTTTCGGGGGCTTCGGGGGCCTCCGGCTGGACGCACAGCACTCGCTGCCCCACACACTGTGGGCTGTGTGCCGTCTGTGCCAGGCCCTGGGGTACTCTGAGGTACGAGCTGTTTTTTCCTTGAAGCCCCCAGTGCTTCATTCATTCATGTATTTTATTATGAAACATTTCACACGCATACAAAAGAGGTTGAGAGACCAGTGGAATGGGACCCCGTGTACCCCTCTCCCACTCAGGAGCCCTGCATGGCCCCCCTTAGTTCCATCCCTCCCACCCTGGGTGGTTTTGAAGCGAGTCCTGGGAACCCTGTAACTTCATCTGTAAACACCTCAGCCCTCTCAAAGTAGTGATCATGGTTTAAAATGTAAGTACAGTATCATAATAACTAATTCCTCAAATGTCCAGTCTGTGTTACGATGTTCTCATTGTCTCATAAATATCCATTC